GAGCAAATATTCACATTCTCTGAGCTTCAAACCCCATGTCTTAAAAACAACTTGCAAGGGACATCTTTTCTACAAATAGTACTGGGAAATCTGGAAACCCACATGCAAAAGAATAAACCTGGAATTTTATTTTACACCATTAAAAAAGTAGAATGAAATAAAAAATGTAAAAGTTTAAACTATAAAACTCATAGGAAAAGATATAGGAGGAAAGTTTTATGACATCATATCTGCCATGAGTTTTTGGACGTAACACCAAAAGCATAAGCAACAAAAGGGAAAAATGATAAATCAGACTTCATTAAAATTAAATGTTGGGGCCAGGATGTAGCTTAGTCATACAGCACATGCTTGGCATGCAGAAGGACCTGGGTCCAATTCCCAGAACTACCAAAAAAAAAAAACTTTGTTATCAAATGACATTATCAACAGAGTAAAAAAAACAACCCATTGAATGGGAGAAAATATTTTCAAATCAGGTATATGCTATTATCCAGAGCATATAAAGAATTTCTACAATCCAATTAAAACATAGGCAAAGGACATGAATAGACAGTTCCACAAAGAAAACACAAAAGAACAATAAGCACATGAAAAGATGCTCAACCCTAGCTTGATACATTTTGGAGAAGCGTGTGTAATCATTAGAGAAATGCCAATCAAAATCACAATGTGATGCCACTCCATATCCCTCAGGATGGCTATCATTTAAGAAAACCAGATGAAAATAAGTGGAGAAAGGGGAACTTTTGTGTATTACTGGCAAAAATGTAAAATGGTACAGACACTCTAGAAGAAAATGTGCTGTTTCCTCAAAAATTAAACTTAAGAATTATCCTGGGATCCAACAATTCACTTCTGAGTGTATAACCAAAAGAAGTAAAGGAAGAAACTTGAATAGATATTTGTACATTATTTTCATAGCAGCTTTATTCACAAGAGCCAAAGGTATCCATCACCTGATGAATGGACAAACAAAATGTGGTATTCCATAGAATGAAACATTATTCAGCTGTAAAAAAAAGAAAAAGGCAATTATTACTTACTGTGTACAATAAGGATGAACCTTGAAAACATTCGGTTCAGTGAAACAAGCCAGTTACGAAAGGACAAACAGTGTATACTCACATTTACAGGAGGTACTTAGAATTGTCAAACGCACAGAGACGGAGATTAGAACACCGGTTGCCAGGTGTTAGGGAAGAGGAAATGAGGAATCATTGTTTAATGGCTACAAAATCTCATTCTGGGAAGATGAAAAAGTTTTGAAGATCAGTGCCCGTGATCTAATGTCACTGAACTGTACACTTAAAATGGTTAAATAGCAAATTTTATATTATGTGCATTTTCGCACTATTTAAAAAATCTTTTAAACAACAGGACTAGCTTGATGCATTTTGGAGGAGTGTGAAGAATACCTAATGGGGACACAAACTAATTCTCATTCTCATTTCTTCCCAAAGCTGCTAGAGTGTTGGTTATATTTAATTCGAGCCCTGGAATCAATCCAGAGACATCCAGAGGGACATTCTGCAGCAATTTTAATT